GGTTCACAGTAGCATCGCTCTGCTAACATGCTAACAGCACATTTGAGCTACTCACCCTGTTGCCCTATCATATATGTATGTGCTCTTAATCTGAAAGGTATAAATACGGAAGTGTGTGTTCAATAAATAATGGCGCAGAGGTAGGCGTGTGCCTCTGATGTAAAACTCTAACAACGTGTATGTGGTTTATTCCTCCATGAGATGTGCGAGTTACCACGGTATTTCTGCCCTAGAAAATGGAACATCCAACACACCCCCTCCCTCCTGGCTCACAGCTTCTTCTTCTTCTTGGTTGGCAACCAATGTTAAGGCGCATTACCGCCCCCTGGCTCACAGCGCAGTGGACATTTAGATGAGAAAATATATATTTGGCACATTTAAGGAAAATACTAATAAAATACAAATAAACAAAATAAATGTTTATTAAGCAATTTTGATAGGAAATTGCTTAATTTTAGAAATGGATTTGCTCTTTTTTTGCTCTATAAAATAGTTGTTTTTTTTTTAGAATTCCGATTCACTTTGGTGAGTGACTCATTAACCATACCATACCACCTTTATTCATAAAGCACTTTAACATAAAACCAGAGTTCACAAAGTGCTGTACATGCTAATAGCATAAGTAAAGAAAATTAAAATGGGATAAGATAAAATAAATAGCTAAAAAAAAAAAAACTAAAATAAATTGAAACATGTTAAAACAAATTGAGTCAACCCCTCTAATCAATGCCAAAGGCTTCAGCGAATAAATATGTTTTAAGAAGACTTTTAAATTCAGAGAGAGAAGAGGCCTGCCTAACATACAAGGGTAGATCATTCCACAACTTTGGAGCAGCTACAGAAAAAGCACGATCACCTTTAAATTTATACTTAGTTTTCAGTACCTTAAGGAGGTAAAACTCGATTCAGTAAAAAGAATCAACTTTACCATCACTATCTACTTCTCTCATTCACCCCCTCCCTCTCCTGTTAATACTTCAAACATGAAACTGATCAATGATCAGCTGTCCCGTCTTTCTTGTTTGTTTATCGCTCACTTTGCACTAGAAAGAGGAGACTAGCAGATAAACAACAGCAGCACATTTAAGTTTGATAAGCTGTTGTTATAATTTGTTTAATATTACATTCTAGTATCAGCTGATGTTTGCTGGAGCCACAGCTGTAAAGCTGCTGGTCATGATATCCGTTTGGATATGTGGTGAGAGGGAAGCATGAAGATGAAACCAGGAGATGTCCTTACTGAATCATCAGAGCTGAACAGGTGATGGAGAAACAGGTTTACCTTTTAGGTGACAGGAATGAGTTGAAGGGAAGTTATGAACTGTTTCTGAGAGATAAATAACACCAGGATCCTTTTTGTGTAGCTGACAGCTGGTAACTGTGCGGGCAAAGTTTTGCCCAGGGCACAGGTTGGGCATTAACAGGGAGAGGGGGGCACAAAGAAATATTTTTCTTTTTTATGTCATTTAAAAACTTTGAATAAATAATTATCTGAATCTTACAACAAAAGTGGTCATCTGATTAAATGTATAAAAATACATTATTGTATATAGTAAGTAATAAGTCATATATACACCCTGGTATAGTACTTTTTCCTTTGGGAAGATATCATCTGTGCAGTCTGCAATTCTGTTGAAGAAAGATGTTGAATCTATTTAAATATTGTAGAAATTATTGATTTCTGTGCGTTTGTTTTAAACTTGCATTAAATTAAAGTTGATTACATCGATTAAGGGCGGAGGGTGGTTCCCTAATATTTTTGCTTGGAGTTGGCAACCCTATTAGTTAGGTTGCTTAATATTTCCACTAAGTAGTCTTTAAAATACCATAGGAAGGATGGTGTAGGTTTAAGTTTATTAGATTGATCAGTGTTGCTGAACTATAAAATGTTTTGGGTGGAGTATATTTTTTGGATACAGGTATAACAGAATGGCTTCAGTCTCTTGTTTTTTAAAACTTGAGTATGAACTTATACAAAATGCAGCAAGATATTTATAAAAAACAGTTTTATTGATTAAAAAATACGCTGTATTGGATTCATATCGGTACCGGCAGATATCCAAATTTATGATATCGGAATCGGTATCGGACATTAAAAAGTAGTATCGGGCCATCTCTAATTTGTACACAAGTACAACATAAGTAAATAGTAAATACTATAAATAGCCCCCACCTCTGTGTTTGAACCAATAGAAAAGCTGGTGCTCAGAGGAAGAGGGCGGGCTTTACTTGGTGTCAGTGACAGAAATGAAAAGAAGCTCAAATGAGTGAGAAGGACGATGAAGGAAACATCTGTGCTGTGTCTGCTCTGTAAGTAGAATCTCTGTGTTTGTTTGAATTCTTGTACTTTGACTGTCTGCTCTCCTGATAACTGATGATGGAGGAGAAGACAGGAAAAACAAATCAGGCTGAATTCAAGTTCAAAACACCACGAGGACCAACTGCAGGTCTGAACTGACTCTTTATCTTTGCTCAGGAGTCGAGGAAACACAGCAGGCAGTGAAAAGATCAAATCATTCACTCATTATATCAACACAACTTTGAAGTGACTTTAGTGGGTTATTTAAAGTATACAGTAGAGTCAGCACACTTTTTTCAGATTAAAAAACAGAAAATAAAAAATAAAAAATAAAAACTTTAAATTCAGTAGCAGTCAGAGAAAAAGTGTAAGATGTCCAGTGTTGGGAAGGTTACTTTTAAAATGTATTCCACTACAGATTACAGAATACATGCCCAAAAATGTATTTTGTAACATAGTCAATTACGTCACTCAATGAGAGTAACACATTCTGAATACTTTGGATTACTTAATATATTACCATGCTATTTACAACCACATGAATGTACTATTGCTGTGTGATTTATTACTGTTCCTAAAGGTTATTCACCATACCAATATCTTAATATAAATGGACATTAGGTAAGGCTGCACTTTTAGCAGCGATCTCGTATAGAAAACTATTCCACGCATATATAAAACAGGTCTGCGGCTCCGAACCGTAGTAAAGGCATCTCTGGCTGATACGTCGGGTTCCATGTTGAGCTCAAAAATAGCTTTACTTTCATGTCTGGGTCAGCTTTGCTAGCTAGAGACAGAGAGAAGCGTTGAAAGGCTGCCCCAACGGAACTTATTGTTTCGGAGGAAAACACGAACACGGTGTACAGTCGAGTCTTAATAGCTTACTTACAACTGGGCTCGTCAGGCACTCTTCTTGGCTGCAGTGGTTATTATTATATTTACATGCTTCCAGCTCCTGTTTCTGCTCGATGACAACTCGTACTTTTCCACTCGCCTTTTTCTCCCTCCCTCGCTCACAGACACATAACGGGTACAGCAGTCCATTCTCACTGCAGCATGGACTACACTGCCCATGATGCTACATTCTTTAGGGCGATGCCTGTAACACTCTGCCTATTGGCTTTATATTAAACATTTTATATAATTTAAAATAATTTAAAAAAACATTTCTTCACGTCATTATGCAGGCCGCAAGTAGAGGTGACATGGCCCGTGAGATTGAGATACAGGCATTAGAGCCTCTTAATGCGAGTTTTGTTCAGGTTCTACCGGCATGGAATTACCAGAAATAGAGAGGGCATAGCCTAACATAAGAAACAGGAAAAGGCCGCTGTGTAATCCATTCATTTCAACAAAGTAACTGTATTCTGAATACCACCTTTTTAAACGGTAACGGAACAAATACGTAACTGTGGTACATGTATAGTGTTACTCCCCAACACTGAAGATGTTTATCAAAATAATGATCTGTAAATCATATTTAACAGTACAGGTTTCACAGAGGTGCAGTGACTAGTGCCTGTGTAGGTTTACTTCAAAGTCCAAAGACATGTTTGGTTAACTCGGATAGTGAATGTTAGTCTGTGATGGACTAATGATCTGTACTCACCTTATAACAGCTGGAATAAATTGCAGCTTTTCCTCAACTGTAATTTGAATAACTGGTTAAAAAAATGGATGGATTGATGACATATTCTACCAGATGGCTTTTAGATTTGATCACTTTATGTTTAGTCTTTTTTGAGAAAGAGATGAGTTTGTGTGTCATTTCTCTTTAGTTCTGATCTCACTGCTGAGCTGCACAACAAACCAAGGTCAGTAACCTTCTTCTGTCACAGTTTAAACCTGAGAAATGCTCAAAGATATGACCTGATTGGGTTCATGTGTCAGAATATAAAGTCCAACAAATAATCAATCTTTATTTTAACCCTCACAGCTCGTCTGACTGTGAGTCCCAGCAGCTCTCAGTTCTTTAGAGGAGACTTTTTGTCTCTGAGCTGTGAGGAGGACGACAGCTCTGCTGGATGGACTCTGAGGAGAAACACAAGCAAACAACAGAGGACTCAGTGCAGAGATGGGTGGGGAGAAGGTGCTGGTTCTTCCTGTAACATCAGCTATATGTACCCCTGGTACAGCGGAGTTTACTGGTGTGAGTCCAGAGAGGGTACCATCAATAACATGGTTAACCTGACAGTCACTGGTAAGCTGAGTGTGTGGAGTTAGTGTTGATGAAGCTGTGTGTAAATGGATGAAATGCTGTAGTTTGTCTCTGTGTTGAGGTGGATCAGTGATCCTGCAGAGTCCTGTCCTCCCTGTGATGGAGGGAGATGACGTCACTCTGCTCTGTAAAACAAAGACCACTCCCTCCAACCTCCCAGCTGCTTTCTATAAAGATGGCTCCCTCATCAGGAAGCAGCCTACAGGTCACATGACCATCCAGCATGTTTCCAGGTCTGATGAAGGCCTCTACAAGTGTGACATCAGCGGTCATGGAGAGTCTCCATCCAGCTGGATCACTGTCACAGGTGACACACTCACCTGTCTGTGTTTCTGCAGCTTTCAACATTCACAATGTGACGACAACAAAATGACTGTGTTTGCTTTATTTTAGACAAACACACCACAACACCTCCACCTACATCCACCTCTCCTCAGGCTTTCACCTCCATCACTCTTCCTCCACCACTCTCTCTTCCTCTTCTCTCTCTGTTGTCATGTGTTGGATCAGTGTGTGTTGTGGTTCTACTGGTGTTACTGGTTCTGCTGGTGAGACAATGTGTTCACAGGAAACCCGAAGGTGAGACTCAGACTTCCTGATCTTTCATGTCTGAGTTTGTTTAGTAGAATAAAGTTCACATTCAAGTTTGAGAGTATTTGTGTTTAGAAGAAGATCATTCCATCTCTGTTTAGATATTGCATTTACATTGTCATTCATTTTGCATCACTTGATCAGATCAAGAAGAAGATGACATCATCACTCACGTCACGTACAACACTGTCAAGATATCAAATAATTCGCAACAGTCAATCAGGCGAAGCAAAGGTAGTGTTGTGTTGTTGTTTTTTCATGGCAGGTTTTATGGTGAGGCTCATTCCAGTTTCAGCTCCAAGTTATCATAGCAAACATGTTTTTTCAGTGTTCTTGATTTTTCTTGGATTACTGTGTTCATGAAGTGAACTAAACTCACATTTGGAGACTCACATGGACATAAGAGGAACTCCAGCTGTTGGTACTTCATTTTTTTGTATTTTAAAGTTTGTGCTTGGCATAATGCTCAGACTTTAGAGGACCTTGTGGTGACTGTTAAATTGGTGCTGTAGGAAATTGATTGAACTGAAGCTGTTTAACAGAATTTCACACATGAAGGAAATGCATTACTAAGATGGATGCTGAGTTTCTTTGTGAATGTGTGAATTGTTAATTTCTTTGTGAATTAATTTGGGATCAATCTGGGAGTGAGATCATAACAAAATAGTCTGTGAAGGTTCTCAGTCATCCAGGTCATCGTAGTCAAAGGAGCTTGCAAAGAAAAGCATCTGGAGTTCTTTAAGTTGCTTGAAGGCGTTTCACCTCTCATCCAAGAAGCTTCTTCAGTTCTAAGGTCAAATGGTGGAGAGTCCCAGGTTTAAACCCAGTGGGAGTTTCCCCCCAAAGAGGGACAAGATTATGTGACAGTGACATTATGAGCAGAGTTGGGAGTACAAAAGCGTTTTCTCTGACCTTTTCCCTTTGATTTTATTTATACAGTGTCAAATCGCAGCAAAAGTTGCCTCAAGCTGCTGTGTAGTATAAAGATAGAATCAGATTTAGGTTTCTGAAGACTATTGCTGATTTTGATGTATTTTAGACATGATCAGAAGGGTAAAGCTGTAGGTTGTAGAAAAGTAAGATAAAACATCTTGCTGAATTGATAAGATGTGCCTTCAGCAACCTGAATAAGCAGAAGAGACTGAAGCTCAGTCAGATGTATCCATCTGTGTTTTTAACTGTACTTACTGAGTGTTGTTCAGTGTGAGCTGGACTGTGTGTTTGTGGTCTGTGGTTAACTGAAGCTAACAGCTCTGCAGTCGTCCAGCATCCTGTTTCTGATAGAAAGAAGAAAACACTTCAGCTGTCTCAAACTCAGCCTAAGAGCTTTGAAAAGATGAAGGTCAGTGAAAATGTCCTCATAATCCAAACCATGTCTTTAATGCACATTGGGACACCAATTTCTCAAATACAAATCAAATATTGCCACTTTCCATAAATGTCACCCTGTTGTAAAGCTGTTGCTTTCTATTAGAGGAAAATGCATGTAGAAATAATTTCTATGTGAAAATTATGTCTGCAAACAGAGCTAAATCTATTTGTTCTCATAGTGTTTACTGTAGCATGAGATGGAACCTGTAACCCATTCAGGTCTTACTGCCCGTCCAGCTCTTGCAGGGTGCCATTATCGATACACTGTCGTCACATTCAGATTCTCTGTTTGTTCCAGCACAGTGTTAAGAGTCCGAAGGTGATACTATGAAACCTGTTGTCACTTCTATTTGCACAAAAACAGCATAAATAGATTCAGTGGTTTCAGTTACCTCCCTGGATGGTATCAGCTGGATTTAAAGAACAAATTTACAGTTAACATGAGACGTTTAAAGAGAAAGACTGAACAGACCAAAGGTTCTGAACTGTGTTTTCAGCCTCTTAACCTGTTCTTCAGAGCAATTCATTATTTTTAAAGTTCTTCATGTAAAACCACTGCACCTACTTCCTGCTGTTTAATGTTAGTCTGATGAAACTTCTATAAAAGTATTCATGAGGTGAGAGTGTTCGTTGGCACTGAAACAAAATGGCAGCTTTGCGGTCGTCGACTTTTTTTTTCTCAGAAATAGCCCGCAGTTCTATGCAGTCAACAGTAGGCGTTTAGAGGAGGAAACTGAAAAGCTGCTTCGGTTTATCAAGATTATCTCTTAATGCCTTCGTAACAATGCAGATATGAAGATTAAAATAAAATGTCTTGCTATAAATGTAGTGCAATAATAATCTTGCAGTTGTTGTACATGCAGTAATTTAAATGTATTTGATTATGCAGAGACAGATTTAGCTGACTCAGCAGTGAGACCTGAAGACATCAGTTATGGACAAACAATCATCAGAACAAGAAGGCCCAGGTACAGCTGATCTTTATCTTTGACTTTGGACAGAAACAAACTAACTGCTCTCTTTGTTTCCAGCCATTATGCTAAACTAAGCTAACAAAACCACACCAATACTCAAGCTCAGGGCTCAGACTTATCAAACCTCTCATCTCTCTGTCAGAAGTAAACCACTTCCTCTAAGTTTGACCTGTTCCTGAGCAAGATATGCAGCAGAATGTAAACCTGATTAAAGATTCTCGTAACAACACCAATATTAACTTTTAGTCTAGAACATGCAGAGCTGGATATGGGGTGTGTTTGTGTGTAGTCTGTGAACACAGGAATCAGTAGCATATGTTAGTTAAGCACTGTTGATTCTTCCAGATGTCTTGATACAGAAATGTATGTTTACTTTACATAATACTTATTAAACAAACAGAATAAACAGAACTGAGAAATGTGAAACAATTAAGAACACATTCAAACAGATTCATCAGGTAACACAAGGCCATTGATAAGACTGCTTAGACTAGCATATGGAAGCTACTCACAACATGGAGTGCAAAGATGCAGTTAGCGTCCATAGAAACTTCCCTCAACAAAATTTAACACGTCTTGCAATAAACTGAAAACACAAATGTCCTGACAGGTAATAAACCTACTACTGAAGGTTATTTCGTAAATGCACAGAAGGAAACGTCCAGTGCATGGTAAGCCAAACTGGCTCCTGTGCTGCTTTAGCTTGAAGGGCAACCAATCATGTGACTGTAATTAACTTCTTCACCAAAAGGTGTCACTGTTATGCCAACAAGTAATTTTAGGTCCTATCAAATTTAATTTCAGGGGTAATTCACCTAATAATATGTTTATGATGCCGTTTTCTCTTATTAAAATGTTTTTTGTTTCTTTATGATGTTAGAAAGAGAGGAGATCCTTTAATATGGTAATCTAAGGCATAGAAGTCTCTCCCAAATGCTGTTCAAACCTGCTGTTAGTGAGGGGCAGCCAGTCAGAAGAAATAAGTGCTAAAGCACAGGAACTAAAACCATTTGTTTCAGACAGAGGATGAACCATGGTGCTATACCAAGGCCCATCATGAAAAATGGAATGATTGTTTTAATCTGTGTGTTTGTGTTCAGACTTTAAACCAGATCCTGACATCATCTGCTCTTCAGTCCACCAGTCCAACCAGTGACATCCAGTTGCTGTTCTCCACTTGATGCCCCCAACACTTCAGACCAGAGTACAACATGACCAGATTTTAATATTTCTTTCTTACTAAATAAGAAAAAATATTTTCCTTCTTTATCTTAAAATTTAAAAGTGCATTTCCTTGTAAAATCAAATGTAGAATAAATATGTATGTTTTTAATGTCTGCAGTGACATTGAAATTGTTTTACTGTTTGACCCTGCTGTTGTTACTGTAGCAGGGATTTAATTTCTAAATAAGCTTTTGTCATCATGTGTGTTTGTCACGTGGTTCTGTGGTTTTCCCCAAGCTGTTGGGGAGAAAATTTCAGTAGTTATGTATTTGTTGTGTTCATTGATAAACTCCTCACATCAGTACTAAAAGCAAATAAAAATCATCAAAATGAGGGAATATTAATCAGTGTAAACAGGACAGAAAAACATAGAAGATGCCCGTATATTTGAGACTAAAAAGTTTTTTGTTTTTTTTTTAATTTTTTTGTTATTTTTAAACTAATGTTATTTTAAAGTAATCATGGTGGTGAATAAACCTGATGCTGACAATAGAAAATCAATAGAAAATTTGTTCCTTAAGCTGGGAAACAAATTAAATCACACTCAGAGTTAAAAAAACAAAGAGCTAAAGTGTTTTAGTATCTGATAAACTACAAACTCATGAACATGTAACCTCCTGGACCTCAGAGCTGCTCTAGTTAAACTTCTCCATGAATCTTGAAATGAGCAGGAGTGTAATTTGAAGGTTGCTGTCATCTTCTGGTGAAACCTGGTGTTACAGCAGAGCGGCCGCTTTATTAAAGTCAGTTTAAGCATGAAAACCATTTTTTAAAATCTGTTAAACAAGTGAAGAAAATTCATGGAAATTTAATGGAAATAAAAATAAATAAATAAAATAAAATACGAGAGCGCTGTAAACACAATAATGACGAAGACTGATATTGAGAGTGACCTTTGACTTTACACTGAGTACAAACAGAAATGCTCTTTGGTTTAATTTAACAGGCAAATCTCACGTAAAGAAGCCAAAACAAGAAAACTGACAAATATCCAGCAGTAACTGCTCCAGGATGTATTTTAGATTTAGTTGTGTGAATGTGACACAACTCCACACAAGTCCACAAAAAAGAGCAAAAACTCTGCTGTGGAGTAAATAAGAATATTATTTACTTAAGTTAAATTTGGCTCACTTTGACCCTTCACTTTTTGTCATTTGAAATTTGAAATAGTCGTATTGACCTACTGAGCAGCATCAAAGCACAACACATCCAGGTTTAACACCCCAGAACCAGCTCAGTCATCAGTGCAGTATATTTTAAAACATTTGTCCTTTTTATTTGAGCAGATTAGTCAGATGGTCTTAGATTTTACTCATGAGCTTGTTTTAAAGTACAAAAGCATTTCTGCAACGGACAATTGGGCATGAGGGTCATGAACTTCAAATCATATGCATCTGTGTTAAGTTTAGTTAGTTACTCTCTTTCATGAAGATACACAGTCAGGTTGATTATCAGCTTTTGCTGGTCAAACTTGTCTTCTACAGGTACGACCTCGTACATCTGATATCTGATGTAAAGCGGGTTTTGTGACTATTTTTCTATCATATATCAAGAAATGTTTGCCCAACATTTTTATAATGTCTAAAGATCAGGCGAGGACAACACTGGATGACTGTTTTAAGCCAGTTTCCTTCTGTGTAATTTGTGGTTTGTTGTGTTTGTTCTGGAACCGGATCAGCAGCATTTTATTGAGAGCACCAAAAAAAATGATTATATAAAATTGATGACAACACCCTTTTATGCTTCCTGTGTTTCTTATTTATTCAAGTTCTGTTCACTTAATCTGTTGTTTTACTGTTATTATGTATATATTAATTTATGTTACTTAGTTTCTACAGCTAAAATGCTGTAGAAACTAAGTAACATAACATAAGTAACATAAATTTAAATCCCATTTTGATTTAAATGCTAAACACAATAAAACTGTTGAAATCACACAAACCGTTGCTGTTACTTTACTATTTAAGAAATGACAGAACATGTCAGTTCACATCAGGAGTTTATGAGAAACAAAGTCACCCCAAAGCTGCTGAACTGCATTCCATTAACACACAGACACATTTACTGTCAGTACATTTGTGGCACATTGAATTCCTCCTCACCAACTCTGAGGTTATGAAACACATGAGACAAAAGTTGGAAATGAATCAATAAATGACGGTCCTGTTTGTGAGAGCAGCATCAAAGTGATGTCTGACCTAATGTTCATTGTCACTGATTTTGATCTTGAATGTGAAAAGGTGCATGGGAAACATTCGTGAAGACGACCTGCGATTCAAGACTAAAATAAACAAACAAAACCTTAATTTTCTCAAAACAAAATGGTGAAAAAAGTGTTTTTAAATCATTTCTATTTTTAAACATATGATCTTATAAAAAAAGCCAAACAAATAGAAAAATCCAGAGATAGATGATATCATCGAATACACAATTTGTCATATAATGAACTGAATTACCTTTATTCAAATGCTATGTTGTAAACTATAGTAGAAAATTAGTGCGTAAAGAAATCAGCTATAAAATCAGCCTCCCAGAGAGGCTGATTTTCTGAAGTAAAAAAGTACGTTAGTAAAACTGGCTAAAGTAAAGCTGGACACTGTTTGCATACAGTAACAATGATGATGTAAGATGCTGCATTTCTATATAAAGTAACAAGTTCAGGTGGAGGTGAAGTAGAGAAAAAGGTAACAATGTTGTACCAAAAAGTCCAACTTAACGGCAGTGTCGGAGGTCCACGGAGAAAACCAGAGGAGGCACAGCTTCCCAAAGTGTTTCCACCGGAGTGATAATGGTTACAGAAAATACATAAATACATTAAATAACTATCTAAAAAGTAATGCTGAAATGACAGGGGTGCTGAATATCATTTCCCTGCTGAAAGTATATCCCACAATGGCACGTTGTTGCTCTTGGGCAAGAAACCAATTTTTTGGTGATTACACTGTCCTTTAATTATTATTGTTTTCATTTATTGACTTGTTATGTGACACCAACATCTCAGCGTTTAGCAAAATGAGGAGTAGATGAAGGTTCGACCTTTGACCTGTGGGTGGAGCAAACCCTAAATCGGCACATGACACAGTGAAAGCTACTGCTGAGACTAATATCATTTGTATGCATGTTCAAATTGAAATAAGTACATTTTTTAAAAAATGAGCTTGTTTAAAAATATCTGAAGACATATTTTTAGTTGTTTAAAGTCGTTTTAGTTCGTAATCTGAGCACCCTGGGTGAGTGACTCCATGCTGGTGGCATTTATGCAAATATAAATCTCTTCAAAAAGCCAATCTGTGTCTCACACAGCAGTGTGAGTGAATGTAGTCAATCAACTTCCTGTGGAGAGGGGAGGGACTGCTCTCATAAGGTGAGGCGGAAACAAAGGATTAAAAACAAACAGGAGGACAAAAACACGGTGAGTGTTACTGTGCATTTATGTGTTTTTTAGAATAATCAGAAAATTAGTTCCTGACTGGAAAACATGACATGAATGTTTCGCAAGTTAGAACAAAAACTGTGAATGTTGTTTTGGTTAGTTTTGGTGCTCAAGTTTGTGACTTAATCCAGAAAGAAGCATGATGGATAACATCAAATCTTTGCTTCATGGTCAGGTCATCTTCCTGTCAGCAGTCTTTCTGTGGTTTTTAAGAGAGAACAAGGATCTGTTCATTCATTAGGTGGCGGGTCGAATAGGTTTATTATGTGTGTGTGTGTGTTTGTATTTAGGTGTCATATGTGTGTTGTATTTCCTGTTCTGCAAGTCACAGGTTTCTATAAATATGTTTGTCAGGATTTTCAACCTGCACTCACAGTTGTTGTTGTTCTGCCAGACTGCCTAAACATGAAGCGTTTAGCTGAGGACAGAGCAGAGTTTCCAGACATCAGCCGTATGTCCATGAACAGCGACAATTCTCGAGATTATCCTCCAGTCTTCAGTCATGATCCTGGATCCTCAGGCACAAAGTAAGAGACTGTTTCTGTTTTACTTATACAACACCACTTTTTTTCTTTTGCACAACCCACTCTCAATGTTGCACTTTTCTGTTTCACTGTCTTGAGTCTGTATCATTCACCTCTGTCTGGTGTTGCCCTGTGTTTTGCAGTCCTGTGTTGATTTTCTGTTATGTGTAGCACCATGGGTCTTGTAGGAACACTGTCTTGTTTCACTGTGTACTGTAACACATGGTTGAAATTACAATTAAGCAACTTGACTAGATTTTATTATTATTATTATTATTATTATTATTATTATTATTATTATTATTATTTTAGGCTTTATTGACATTTTAGCTCTTCTCCAGTCATTTTGATCAAAGCACTTGAAAAACTCACACAGTTATATTTTTAGCTGTGTTGCTGTCTCTCTGTAATATGTGCTTAATCTCTTTACATTTTTCCCCATGAAGTTTTGTAGTTTTATTTTCATTTGTAATATAGCTGATCTTCTACTTTATGTATGATTTTGATTTGGTTAGATGCTACACCTTACAAAGGAACATGCTCATAGCTAGACCTTTAATTAAGAGACTCAATTAACTAGCTTTGTGTGACTCATTATCCTTTTTACCAGTGTTTGAATTAGTGAATGCAGATGAATGAAAAATAACTTGGATATGTAACATAAAAACCTAAACAAAACTGAAAATGTTAACTATAGATTCAAGAGTCGTGTTAAAAGGATGACCATGGTTCCAGTGGCTTTGAGAACATCCAGGGCTTCAGCTTCATGAGTCTGACAGAGGGATAAGCTGCTTAATGGGCACCAAGTAGAAGAACAATCTGGGCTTCATTCTATATTTGTGTTTCCAGACATCAGCAGCTCAAACACAGAGCAGAGTTTACAGGATCCATGTCCATGAACAGTGACAATTCTCGAGATTATCCTCCAGTCTTCAGTCATGAACCTGGACCCTCATTCACAAAGTAAGTGACTGATTCTGTTGTAAATTGAGCAAATATGATTTTGTTTTTTGCAGTCTTTAATATTATTTAAGAAGAATTTCAGTCTCCAGATGTGCAAAGCTGGTAGAGACATACCCTAAAAGACTGGCAGCTGCAATTGTAGCAAAAGGTGGTTCTACAAAGTATTGACTCAGGGGGCTGAATAATTACACACACCCCACTT